TGTATGGAGTCTTCCAATACCAAGACTGGCAGGTCTGGCTTCCCATCAGTTGCCCAGCTTCACGTGTTTGGAATATGGAGGCTTCTGGAAAGCACTGCAACCCTGGGAAGTGGTTTTTCGCAGGTCCTGACTGTGGCATTTGAGAGCAGAGAAGAAGTGATTTGGACCTGAGGATGGCAAAAGCTTTGTCTCTTGCTGGCAGTAAATGGTGAAACTTACCTCCTTTAGTGTTCTTATCTGGTGTCTTGGAAAAAAGCCTGAACTCCCACACTTTTGCTCCATACTGCTTGCTAACCTGGGTTGTGTCCGTAGGTACAGCTGTGCTCAGCTGATTCTGGGCCTACAGCCCCCCTTCATGGAAAAAAGGATCATAAGTCCTAAGACAGACACTGAGTGGACAGTAAAGCATTTCCAAAGGGTATATTGGTGTGGCCTGGTTATCCAGTCTGAGACTAGTAGGGAGGCTCTAGATTTTAAGCTACTCTTCCCCATGTCCGTTAAAAGGCAGAGATTTTACCTTCTTTGGAAAGGATTATTGGAAGTCGCTAGTTAAGAGGTCCATCCACTGGTCTAGGTGTCCAAAGATGGTCTGCACTAAGAGGCAGATCTCAGCTGCAAAGCAGAAAGGCAGAAAGCTTCCTTCCCTGCCCTGTCTAGTACTGGTGTAGCAGATTCCTTCCACTCTCTGCAGAGAAATAAATATACATTAAGAGCACCTCTCATTGCTGCAGTGAACATCCTTGCTGCCTGTTTGCACTGTGCTCCGGTGTCCATCCCAGTTGTGACAAATGCCACTCTGCTTATCTCTCTCCCAGTGGGTCAGAAGGAGTCTCAGCCCTCTCTCAACCTCACATAGCTTTGAAGGTGACATGAGTTTTGAGTGCTATAGATGACCCTCAACCCTGGTCAAACAAACAGCAACTCACTCTCCTGTACTGTGCTTCACACACAACCTGGCTTCCCAAACCCACATCTTGCTCTCTCTGTCTCTTGTCCTGAGAGAGGGAACTGGCATATTGCTCTAACTCCTGTACCCTCCCATCTTCTTCCGTCCTTGCAGAGGAAGCAGACCAGGGCAATGCATGAAGAATACTCCCAGCTGCTGGAACCCGCCTGCCTCACTACCACAACCACCATCTATGGAGTGACAGATGAAGAGTGCCTGCAAGGAATGGGAAATGAATTTTACAAATAAATTAACTGTACTCACCAATGATTTTTGAACAGTTTATTCCCAATTCTGTTTTTTCCTGCTCAGCCTCCAGTCACAGCTTTAATCTCCCTGGCTTCTTAGGTTGAAGAGCATCCCATCCAGCCATGCCTGTGTGCAGGGCAATAAGACTGACAAGGGGACAGAATGATTTAAGTTGGGGTCAGCCTTTCTGTTGTAGCCCTCTCAGTGTTATGTACTCTGAATTTGTCATCTGAGATCCTGTCTAATCAACAGAGAAGGACAGGTACTTCTTGTGAACTATTTCTCTCCCCTGGCTTAGAAACCATAAGCTTGATTGAACTGGTCTCTGCAGGTACCTATCCATGTCTCCCACCAGTAGGCAGCCTGGATGATCAGCTAATGTTACAAGTTCAACCTCTCTGATGTGCCCCACAGACACCCCTTCCAGGATTGTTTCTTTTGTAGAAGAGTGGGAGGAGATACACAGTTTGCCCTCTTCTAAGATTAGAGCATGCATGGGAGGGCAGGAGGGATGTGTGCATGCATTATGCCTTCAGCTGCTAACTTAGAATGGCCTGTTCTCCAGTTGAAGCTTGGGCCTTCTTGTGGAAACTTCCGTATCTTGTGCCTGCTGCTTCTTGGAAATTCCCAAGGAGAAGCTAATGCATTTGCCAGTAACCTACATACCTAAGCCTAGTTTCAATGGCACATTTACTTTAAATCATAGAGTTGCTTTGGTGAAACTGTCCATAGTCCTCTTAGATATCGCCAGGAATGCTCCCCTTTTCTTGGTTTTGTCCCATTACTTTCTGGTTTTAACTTCTGAATGGCAGAAAGATCTTACATGACAGTTTATTCTCATTAAATGCTTATTGTTAGGTATCATGGCTTATTGTGTATCCAAAGTATGCACAGCTAGTTGTTCCATCCGATTTTTTTTAGTGTGCCTATCCAAACAGTGTTATTGAGAACAAATAAAATTCTTCATCTATTTTGCTAGATATTAATATTATGTCACTTCGTCTCCTGTGGTGTTTGCCATTTACTCACTCAAGACCTTTTTGACACCTCATATTCAGAGAAGTCTATGGAATGAACTGGCTTCAGTGAAAGCTGAGCAAAATTTCTAATCAAGCATGAATACTAATTGCATTTTGTTTTGATTTAGAAATAGTAAAAACATCTAATTTCCTACCATGAGGCAATTACTTTTCCACACAGTTTTTGGTCGCTGAATTAAATTGTTTTGATTTTAGACCATTGTGATTTTCCTTTGAAGCATGCCATGCGTGCTTCATGGGAATAGAAATTCAATGTTCAGACATCCCTGTACTTCCTTAAGGTAGCCTTGCTGAAGTTTCCTACACGGTATGCCATGGAGGACCTGCAAGTATGTGACTTTGATGATTCACAGCCTAGTCAAGCTGAGAGACATTAAACTGCTTTACAGATACAGGCTAGCCAGGGAGCCCCAAATGACATGTGATGTGGCTGCCCATGGGCAATAGTTAGGTGTTGTCTAATTTAAGACCAGGCGGCAGCAAAACATTGTGTTAACTTTTTTCCATGGTAGAAAGCCATTATCCAAATTTTGTGAATGGAACATACTCCAGTGATTTTACAGACTTTTAAATTAAATTATCGTGATGATCACTTTGTTTCATTTGAGGCAGAAAAGATCCAACTCCATAACCATGTAGAGTACTCACCAGAAAGTGAATGAAAATGAAGGAGCTGTTGCCATCCATCTACAGCCTGCTTTAAAGGAGGGCCTGTGTTTGGAGACCTGTGTCTGTATGCACAAGTTTTCAGACCTGGCACTTTTGAACCTGCTTGCCCCTAACTAACAGTTTCAGCTTGGACTGTGTATCTCTGGTACAGTCAGTCTCTCAGGACCCCATAGCAGGGGCACAGCTGTAAAAGGGGCCAGAGCAAACTGCTTTCCTTACACAGTGAGGAATTCTAGCTCATGAAGGGGAAAGAGGGTCTTGAGACACTCACATGGACAACAACAACATAAAAAGCTTCAGGGTCGCTGAAATGTGTCCAAGTTCTTTGCTGTATTGCTGACTTACATTTTTGACAACCTGGGTCTGTGCATGTGAAAGAAGCTGTGTAAGGGACTCCTATAGGTGTGTTTGCTTAAACTTACATTGGCAGGGTCAAAGGCACCTCTGCACACAGAACCATGTAAATAAAATACACAGGGTGCCATATGACCTACTGAACTAAGGCTGATTGCCTCAGCATCCCTGGGAGAGATCCAGACTAGAGAGAATGTGATAATTTGGAAAATTGACATGCAAAAAGTTTAACCCAAACTACCAGATGGGAATCCAGGGCCTCTCCCCTGAATTCTGCTGAAGCACCGTAAGCCTAGTTGGGAGGAAGAAAAAAACCCTGTATTAAAATTACTCAAAAAAAACCCAAAAGAGATCTACAGGCCTCCACTGAGGGGAAGAGGATAAAGTTCTCATGAAAAACACAAGGGGTTTGGCTCATAAGGTGGTTCTTGGTTGAAATTCTGACTGATGACACTGTTAAGTTCCCAGTCCCTCTCTGATTTCACTTCAACTGTTCAGAAACATGCAGATAATGTCTTCACTGCTAGAATGGGAAAGTCCACAAGTCTTCCCTTCATTTCTATCTGGCCTGCTGTGAAAGATCAGACTGGATGGGTTCACACTGTCCTTCCACCTCATAGCAGTGATTTCACAGTGGGATCAAAGGCAATATGTGATCAGAGGTTAATGTCCAAGGATTATATTGCAGAAAACCCTGGCTTTTAGAGGCAGGGAGTCAAGCTCCCAGTGTATAATGGCAACAGGTAGGATTTCCTCTCCTCCTGCAGAACTGGCAAGTATGGAGACAAACCTCCCCACTGCCAAAAGCTGTCTGCCTTCTAGTATCCTGAGGAGTTGCCAAACACCACCTTGCTGTGGATGACTTTGGATTTAAATCTCAGGCCATTACACAGTCTGAGCTATGGAAGGGAGGAGAGACAAGACAAAGTAACAAAAAAATAAGGCCAGAGGCACCTGATGAGAATCAAGACTTAATTTATTTATAGTTTTACTTCCTTTTTGGTGTTGAGGTGTCCTCGTCTAACATTTCAATAGCCCCCCTCAACAAGATCTTCTAGGGGCAGAGACATGTGAGTTGATCCAGCAAGGCTCAGACAAGATGTGCTCTTCAGGCATTTATCTGTTCATCCTTGGCTGGAGGTGGGAAAAGGACAGAGTGAGGGAATTATCCTGGTGAAGCAGTGTCCAGAGCCCTGGACATCTTCTCTGTGTTCTGGTGGCTATGTGAGTTCAAGCCCCACTAAAATCTGGGAAACTGATATACCTAAAAATGCCCAGTTACAGACAGGTAACAGAATGGGAATGGCTGGACAGGGGAGGCAGATTTATCCAGGAGATAATATGAGCTCTCCTAGTACACATTCCCTCTCAGCACCTGGATTCCCAAAGGAAGGCAAAAAATAACCCAGGGCAGAGTTTGAAAGATCCCCACCAAAGACATGTGAATAAGGTCAAAATTTCACCAAGATGTTTGGGACGCAATTCCTCTGTACCCTTCTGTGTCTGCAGCATGACAAATGTGGCCCTGAACAGGGCAGACGCACAAAAGGCTGCGTGGCGTTCAGTCCCAAGAGAGATTTCAATCTTATTTGTACAACGTGACACACAGGCAGGAATAGACAAGCGCCTCTGTGCGAAGGCAGGCAGTAACAGTGGGATTGCTATTCTCACTGAGCCACAATGAAAGCTGCATCCGATCTTACACAGGACATCGGGTGGCAGCATTGCTTTTCGTCTCTGTACTAAGGCTTGCCTAGCGACTGCAACAGGCACAGTGAAGATAAATGCCGAGAGTATACACAGGCGGAGGAAACCCACGGTCTGCAAAGACTCCAATTAGAGACAACCTGCAGTAGTCCATGCTGGAAAACGTCAGTCGTTCCTGCGCAGCCTACCTGTGGAGCAGGGAGCGCCGTACTCCTGCGTGGCAAACTCATCTGGAAAGGAGAAGGGGAGGGAGACAGCGGGCTGTCAGAGCCCCTCGGCAGCCCTGGCAGAGGGACGGGTGCCAGAGAGACGCTCCTCCCAGGCCCCACAGCCGGCCACTGCCTCCATCCCCAGCCTCCCCCCCCCCGAGCTCCCAGCCGGGGTGGGAGGGAGCCCCGCTCACAGCCCTGGCCGCGGCAGCGAGGCAGAGCCGCCCCCCTCGCACAGGCGGCCC